GGTTCGGGGCCCCCCCCCCCCCCCTTGTCCTTACGAAGGCCAGGAAAACGAGTCTCAAAACAATGAGCTACGGCAGGGCACAGCAGCATGTGCGAATGCATGGGCGTGAGAACGCAGGCTCCTGGCAATCCAATGAGGCACTTAGCTCGGGGCTGGATTCAATGCCTGACGAGCAAAGGGCTGACGTGTTGTCATGACTATGTCTTTCTTCGAAGTCAACGCGCATGCCTCTGTGACTAGGACCGGGCCTCATATAAACAGCTTACTTAGGGTCAAGAGTGATGAGTATTCATAGAAACAGTGCAGTTTACCTTACTTGTAAGTAACCCCCAGTTGCTACGTCCCACGATCCTCAAAGCAGAGGAAGAAACTGCCGAGGGGCAAGGATGCTTGGTAGGCCAGGGCTTCCAGGCGTCGGTCGGAGCATCGGAACCTGCAGCGCGGGAGATCAAAGCACTGAAGGCTAGTTAGTAGTAGGATTAACTTCCCATCACTGTAGTCAGAGCCAATTTTTCGTACTAGCACCAGTACTAGTCCTAATAGTAATGTTAGTATTAGTCTTAGTATTCGGTCTTAGCATATTCCTTGCACTGGTATTTGTACCACTGTAGTACTAGTATTCGGTAACTCTTCTTCAAGGCCCCCACCCCCATCGCGGAATATGATGAGCGGACAGCTCGCTGGAAGCGCGTGTCATGAAATCTGCTCTGGCAAGGAAAGGCTGGGTTGTCACATCTGCTATGCGTTTTGTGTCAAGTAGTGGAGGGAGGAGGTCTCAGCAGCTTGGCTGGACTTCTATCAGGTGGCCGGCAGTGTGGTTGCAAAATGTGATGTTTATTGGGGTCTTCCGCTGTCATGCATTGCATCCATGACGGATCATGACGGCTTCTATGCCTGCCAGCCGAAAAAGACCGACAAGCTGCACCCATGCTAGGCCGAAGTTGACATGATGTAAGGCGTGTATCCCGCAAGGATCTCCCAAAGACACCGTCACCAGTATTCCCGACCACCACATGCACAAGGCCCCAGGTCCGTCAAACCCCCCACCGGTCAGGCAGCAGTTGGGATAATGATGCCTGTCTTGTCACGGTACACATGGTACACGACACACAAGTTCGACATCTGCAAGCACTTTCTGATGCAGTCAGATGAGGCTGCAGAAAATTGACGCTTTGGGTAAGTTAAGCTGCTCGCCTTCTGCCAACAGCGAAAATTGTCTCCTCGCAGTTCCCTGGCCACGGTGCCCTGCTGTAGACTGCGGCATGAGGATTGCTGCACCTCTCGAAGGCGATCTACGTCCTATGGCATAAAATAGAGATCTCATTGGCATCAAAGATGTGCAGCAGGTGAGACCATCGTGGAAGCATGGTGAAGCTCTCAGCTTCCGGGCCACCTGCGGCGAAGTTGGACACCACTCTGCGCGTTCTCTGACTTCTTTGGCTGGAAATGAGTGCAGAAAGCCACTGCTGGAGTGGTTGCCCGTCCCATGCTTTGTGGTTAAACCGGTCTTGGGCCGAATAGATACATACCGAGGAAGGGGATGCAACAAGGCAGTGCCTCTTAGCGACTGCTTGAGCATCTTGTGACTTGTTCTTCACCAGGATTCTCTAGCTGCAAGTGCAAACCTGCTCAAGATCTCAAGGTCCCGAAATTCCAAGCTGCCCCGAAGCAGCACACCTTGACAGCCCTGAATCCTAATGCTTGCAACAACGGTCGCAACAAAACCGCGGCACCAACGGTAGGATTAGCAACAAGGGCACTAGAAACAATGAAAGAGTTATGATGGCAATATTCTCAGCTCCATGGGTATTTCTATCATCAATATTGTTACTATACTATACTATACTACACTACACTACACCATACCATACAGGCCTGGACCTCAAACTTCTCACATCTTTGCGGCTACCCGAAGCCCTAAACCTTGCACCCACGAAGACCTGAACTTCCCAAGGATCCAACGGATGTAGGGGAATTAACAAGTAGACTAGGGCTTTGGTCTAAACTATGTGGGGACTGTGAGGGGACACTAGTACCAAGTACTCAGCTTCCATGTCGTGTTCCCGCCTGGAAGACTCGGAAGGACGGTCTCTCAGGAGGCCTGCAAACGATTCGGGCTTTAGCTGTTTGTGAATCTTATAATTTTTTTGAAAGGTTAAGGGCTGTTTCCTCTAGCCCAACAGGGTACTGAAGGAAAGCCGGCATCGGCGGAACCAGGGTGAGGGCAGAAGCCTGCATGACGAGTGGATCCCAGCAGCTGCAACCCTTTGCAAAAGGCTGACGGTTTAGGGTTGTATAGAGGGCATAGCAGGAGGCTACTGGCAGATTGTCTTGTGGTTACAATCGGGATTGCAGCCAGTATTCTCTCGCATGCCATGCGATGTATGCCCCTTCATGGGTAGTTCTCTAAATTAGGGTCCCCTTTAGGGTCCTTATTATAAGGGTGCCGTACAATATTGGGGACCTAACAAGGGACCCTCATTTAGAGAACTACCTTCATGCGTCTCTAAGTGCGATCTCAGTGATCTCCCAAGTTTTTCGGCCTCTGACTCGGCTGCATCGAGCAAGGCCCGATCTCAGCAGCACATGGCCATGCAAAGCAGCTAGAGACAGGAAGATGAAGGGAGGCACAGCCAAAGCGAGCACCACTAGTAGTGGTTCTTACTAAACATTGCTATTCTTATTAATTATTACTATTAGTATTATTGTTACTACTATTACTATTATTATTTCCCTCTATATTGCAGCAACTCGAGCAAAGCAGAAGCCGTGTCCACTTAGTCCCTGGCCCTCGTCGCTTTCAGCGGATGAGTTGGTGGAGTCCACTGGTGCCTGGCGGATATTTGATATTCGTATTCTTGCCTATTGTTAACTCTTACTACTGTATTATTCGTGGATATTTGATATTCGTAATCTTGCCTTTTTTAACTCTTATGACTGTATGATTAGTACTATTAACTCCTATTGCTATATTATTGCTATTGTTACCATTAATACTGGTATATGATATGAAGTCGGCCGGTACCGTTTGGCAATGTGGCTGGCTTAGGCTGGCTCGGTGGCCTGCTCCGCTGCGACTATGGTGGGCGAAACAGGCGCAAGCTCCTTCACAAGGACCTGCACAAGACGTGCTGGGTTTAGGGTTTAGGGTTTAAGGGTTTAGGGTCAACACGGAATGGCCAAGACTTGCAGAGCCTTTGCACCAAGGCTGTTGGGAAGGCCTCCGGAACTCCGGACTCATCCCGGACGATCATCATATCCTCCGCTCGCAAATGAAAAACAAAAACTCTTGCTTTTTAGCGCTTTTTTTCCTCCTGCCTAGTTTGGGACAGTGGAAGAAAACTCTGACAGCTGGGGTGTTTGTCCTCGTCCAGGTATGTCACCAGAATACTTCGACGAAGCTCGAGGGGAAGGTCCTTGCAGAAAGAAGCTTCGATGCATTGAATTGGAACTTGGTCCAAGCGCTCAGGTTTGCACACTACCGTCTTCCGGTTTTTGTTTCGGGCTCTCTTGCGTCTTCTAGTTTCTAGCAGCCGGGTGCCCCTTGGGCTCGTTTGCATGGCAGAAGATGTCTTTAGCCTTTATGTCTGTTGCCTTCGCTGCCCTTCTCACCCAGGCGCAGTGAAAAGGCTTCTACCAGCGGTATGCCTTCTTGTGTAACCGAGGCCTGCTCAGAAAAGGGAGCTCTGGTATTGCATTCTCAAGATGGCCTGGCAACTTCCTGTCGAGAGAAATCCGTGTGCAAAGCGCGAAGTCCTGATCTCCGATGGGATCCGGCAACTTCAGGGCAATCACCTTCGGAGCTGAGGCGCGGAGAGAAGCGGAGGGAGCGCGAGAAGGAAAGCCGGGGAGTCGTAGATAAGGGAGGCCGGGAGCCAGGAAAGAGGACGAAAACGGGATGTGTGATGTCGCCGGATTCGGAGAGCACAGGAGAAGGACGCAGAGTACGGCAACTGCAACCTGGAATTGCAAGACCGCAAGTCTCTGCATTAGCCGTCGTGGGCAAGGGGGAGCTGTATACTCGCAAGGAGCTCCAGCTTCTACCTATTAGTATTATTATTGTTATTATCATTATTATATGATTATTATTAGTACTATTATTATTAGTATTATTATCACTATATATTATCGCGGCAGCGATGACCCGAGCCTCTTCGCTCATGCGCTGCGCGCTCAGCGGCATAAGCTCGGCTTTGTAAGTCAAGGTCTCCTGCGGCTCAAAACAACGAAGCTGTCTCATACTGTGTCCCCTTTTCCGTCTCTCATATGACCCAGAGTATAGTATACCTCAACCCCACATCCCTGTGTGTGAGCCGACGCGGGAATCTCTGAATCGCACCTTGCGCCCAGCGACTTCAACCTTGGCCGATGCTTCGACATCGCGGCCACCGGAGATCTGGACCTGTCCAGGCAAAGTTACGTGAGCCTCATAGAAACCCGTCTCTCTCTCTCTCTCTCTCTCTCTCTCTCTCTCTTTCTTTCGTTAGGGCTGTGGACTAGGGGAGCTCCCCTAGCCCGCGCGCTGTCGCGCCCCCAACCGTTTTGGAGGGGGTGGAGATACAGCTACACCACCGAGGCAACTAGCGGGGGGCAAGGAGACTACACTCCACGATGGAAGTATAAGCAACACCATGATCACGAGCAAAAGGACAGCAGCCAGGGGAGGTTATGGGTTGCCTCTTTGGGATTCGCTCCATCTGCCGACCATGCTGACACCATTAGGCCTAAGAACCGTGAGAAAAGCCTGGTGCAAACAGGACACACGAATAGTAAAGTCGGCTGCTCAGGGTGTTTCCCCCTTTCTCGGCTGCACTCATATAGTGCTGCAACCTGTGTGAAGCGAGCCCCTTCGGTGGTTTACAGATGAAATCGGGTGACTTTCGGTGCCTGCACTCTGGTTCTCAAGCGAAAACAAGTAAGGCAACAGCGACACCCAAAACAGATAAAGAGAGTGCCAAAGTAGTGCAGACACGAGTCAGGTAGTTCCCCTAGGGCATTGATGGTCCGCAGTACGCTGTAAAGGGCCTAGGACTCAAGGCTTGGTAAGCGATGATCCCCCAACCTGGTCTCTGAACCTTCTCAAGACAAACCAACCTGAACAGAAAAAGCTAGGGCTTCCTCGTACAGGGGTTCCCCCCGGAGGCTTCGCGAGGCTTTTTGGCCTCTCATTCTGCTCACATGTCCTCGTCGAATGCCGCATGCAGTCGCCGACGTCTATGGGAGTGCTGGCTGAGACTTTCGTTCGGCTGGGTCACTTCCTCATTCTCAACCTGTAGGCCCGGGGCTCTTTCCCCGACAGGGGGCGGTGTCCATGGTGCTGTTTCAGCAGCGGATCCCGGACTTTCTTCCAAGCCATGAGCACTGTCCACCAAGACGATGGGAGATCCCCATATGGCTGTAGTCCACCCGAACAGTAGAGAGTGAGCTTCTGAGAGCGTAGCGGCCACTTCCTGTTCCAGAAAGGGGAGCGCCCCCTCAAAAAATTGTTGTGCTCGCAGGACTTGGTAAGGAGTGGCTTCCCCTGGTCCGCTCATGCTCACAGGAGGTGGGCGATCTTGTCGAAGGTCTCGATGACGAGGTAGTAGACAGTCGTTTCCTTGTTCTCGTCGTTGCGTTGGGGTAGTCAGGCCATGTTGCCCCCGTGGTAGAGGTTGGGCAGGTACTCGACGAAGGTCTGGGTCGTGTCCTCCAGGGCCTCGAGGGGGATCTGCATGGAAGTGAGGTGCTTGTGCACTCCCGGTTGCAATCTCTCGGCGGGGACGTTTAGGGGATGGGCTCCCCTCTAGAGCATCTTGAGAGAACTTCCCCTGGAGCCACGAGATGAGCTCAATCATATACTGGTTGCTGCGCTGGGTCGCCTCTGCTGCATGTTTGATGGCTTCATCCATGGTAGCCACACCACCTTCTTGCGTTGCAAGCAGCGCCCAATCGACACCGTCCAGTGCGTTTCGTGTGGCCGCTGTACCCGGCAAGGCTCCAGGGGCTCCCGGGTCATTGGACCAGCTTTTCAGCAGGGCCCTGCCTTCCTTGAGGAGGGCTTCCGCCCTGAGAAGCTCTCGTTGCACGTGGCGCATCGGGAGGTCCCCATGGTTGTCGGCCAGGTTGCTCAGGGTGGCTTCGGCCTCAATGAGTGGGTTGTGGACGTTGAGCTGGAAGTCAGTCGGAGCAGTCGGCTCCGTAGTTTGGGGGGGCAGAGTTCCCCCAGCAGGGCGTAGTTCGCGGAGCTTGTTGAGGTAGAAACAGGCATGGTAGGCCAGTTGGGTGGCATATTCATTGGGCTGTTGAAACGTTTGCTCCAGGAGGTTCTGCAGGATCTTTTCGAGTAGGTCCATGACTCCCTCATAGTTGAACCCCGTGCCAAAGTTGGCCTCCACTGTCATCCATTCTAGTTGTCTCTGTGAGGATGTTGGCTGTGGAGGCGGCGGCGACGGTGCATCCGAGGGTTGTGAGGGGTCCTCTCCTCTTTTTGTCTGGACCAGCGAGAGGGTGTCCACCAGGTAGCTGGTCTCAAACTCCACCTTTTGCATCATGGAGCTCTCATCTTGGTCGTTGGTCTGGCGGGGCGTCGGTGTAGGGCTTGGCGGGTCTTCGCTTGGCCAACTGGTTTCTGTGTCGGATCCCGAGCTTGAGGCTGGCGGCATTGGTGGCTTGGCTTTTGGTTGCGCCTTGACCGAGGCCTTAGCAGGTTTACCCTGCTCCCCTCTGCCCATTCCAGCCGATGCATCTGGTCGAGGTTGGGGTTGAGGATGCGTTTGTTGTTGAGGGTCCCGTTCGGCATCCTGTTCCTTCCGTGTTGACGCCGAAGAACCCGAAGTCGTGGGTCGCTCCTGTCGGTCTTGACCAAGTTGCCGTCTTTTTGGAGGGTCTCCCCCCTGCCGTTGTGGCGGTGTTGGCGGGCGCGGCTGCTCGGGCTGCGGGAAGGTCGAGAAGCCCCCCAGCCTAGCGACGTCCTCCGCAAACCTCGGGCGTCGAATCCATTCTGCTTGCTCGCCTCTCCATTCGAGAAAGAAACTTTCCCCTGCCTGCAGGGGGACTTCCCCTTGCCCAGCGGCCGGTGCTGCTTCTATTTGCACGAGCCAATATCTGGGGGACCGCGCGAAGCTCAATTCGAACTTCGTTGTGGCGATCCAAACACCCACCGGTCGCAGCGTCAACTGCACTCCTGGCGTGATAGTCGGGGTTGATCGCCCCGAGGAACTGAGTGGCTTGTACGCGATGATGGTGGGGTACTGCGAGTCTCGGTCAGGGTGGCGTATTGTCTCCCCAGGTTGAGGGGACCATACGTATCCTCTCCAGACTCCATGTTCGCTTCCCTTGAGAGTGACGACCGCATTGGACGCCAGCGGGATGGAGGGCGGCAGCGTCGGGGGACCAGCCCCCGAGGTCCAAGCAATGTCAAAACTTGTATCTCCGATGCGAACTGAAGATCTCATGGGATGGCCTCCTTCTTCAATGATCCAAGGGGGAGCACGCCCCTGTTGAACAGCCCTCGCCGCTTCGGATTGCAAGTCGGACATGTCAATATGGACCGGAGCTGTAGGGTTCGTCCCCGAGGGTCTTGAGGTGGGTGTAGAGCTCGAAGATGTAGAGGGTGACGTCAGGCGCGCTGGTTGGGAAAAAAGGACATCTCCTCTCTCTCTCTCTCTCTCTCTCTCTCTCTCTCTCTCTCTCTCTATGAAGAAAAAATATACATGTATCAAAATTCACCTTAACCCTGTCCTAGCAACGCTGTTGTGACCGTATCATAACCCTTATAGCCGTATAGCAGCCGCGTAGTAGATCCCAAGCCAGTGACTCCTTGCTGCTGGGGCCTTCTTGGAGCCAAGCTTCACGCCCAAAGACTGACCTCAGCCCTAAACCCTAAACGCTGAACCCTAAACCCCAAAGTGCAAGATGGCTGCAGCACCGATCTTAGCCCTCTTCGACAGCAGCAGCCGAGGCGTCTGCCCCAAAAGCCCTGCGCAAAGGATGACAAAGCGTTTCCCAGCGAAAATCCGCCACCTGACGAGGCTACTGGAAGGAAGGAAGGAAGGAAAACCGTCGGAGCACCGCACCAGACTCCAGTTCAGGTTCAGGTTCAAAACAGGGGCCTACCACAATGATGTTGCTATAAGAAGGTTCCTATAAGGTTAGGTTTAAGAAGGTTACTGTAAGGTTAGGTTTAAGAAGGTTACTATAAGGTTAGGTTTAAGAAGGTTACTATAAGGTTAGGTTGCTACGATTGGGATCTCGGAATTGCCAGGGCACCATACAAGAAGAGAGCCAACTCTCGAGTTGGCGATGAGAGAAGACCAGGAGCATAGGACCCCGCGTACCTCAGAGGCCCGAGGCACCGAGTGTGAAGTACATGAGGGACAGAGAACAAGGGCAGCCTTGAGTGACTCATAGTTGGGGGCCTTACTTCACATTCCATGTGCCGTCGAGCTCAATGGAGTAGACAGGCTCCTCCTGGGTGTTCAGCCTCACGGTTTTTGCCAATGAAGGGAGCATCCGCAAGAGTGGAAGAGTGGCTCTCTCCCGGTTAAGGGTTTAGGGTTTCCTCTTCTTCGCGTCTGGTGTGTTTGACACTTTCTTCACTCGGGATGGCCTCTCTAAGCGGACAATCGCTTCGTCCACACGCCCGCGCATTGGCTTGCCTGTGCAACTCGAGTCGTAGAAGGATGGCTGCAGCAGTAGCTGGAAGACTTGGTGGTAGCTGTCTATAAGCATATGTATCATTCTATCGTTTATCATCTACTAGTCATCTACTGTCCTTTCTACATCTTATACTATACACAGGTCATATACCCTGCGTTTTGTGTCATACTTTGTATTTTCGAAAACTCACGGCAGGGCCAAAGGACGGCCTTCAGGTCGGAGGACCTCCTCCTCGAGGGAGCTGTCTTCGAGCAAATCCAGAAGCCTCTCCTGCCCGGTTTAGGGCCCTAAGCGGTTTAGGGTTGAGGGCCCTAAACCCAAACCCCCAACTCGGTTTAGCGGTTTAGGGTTGAGGGCCCTAAACCCTAAACCCCAAACCCGGTTGAGGGGTTTAGGGTTTAGGGAGTTTAGGGTTTAGCTTGTTTCAGGCTTCAAGAATCTGTCGCAGGGTCTAGGGCTTCGAGCTCATGGCTTTTTGTTTACTGCTTTGCACATGGGGATTTGGCTTTCGGGGGTAGCGGCTAGCATGCAGAAGTGTATCACCACGTGGCTAATGGGCTTGGACTTGGGTCGGGAGGTTGTAAGCGGCCAGGTGTTCACTCTACATCCGTACAAAGGGCTCGACCGGACCCTCCTAGACTTCCCAGCCTTTTCTTGAAGGATTCTTGTCGGAGTCCCACCGTATTCGAGACGCCAGGGCATTTGCTCCTAAACCTAAGATCCAAGACGACCCAGAACAGCAAGGCCATGTCGACTCGACACAACTTCAGATTACATGTCAGTATGTGTGTGTCTGTATGTATGTATGTATATGTATATATATATATACAGATATAGATATAGATATAGATAGATATAGATATAAGTCTGTGTGCGTGTGCGTGGGGTCTGTGTCTGCTCTCAACTCGCCTGGTTATTGCTACAGCAGCTCACCGCAGAAAAAGATGGCACGGCTACAGAAAGATGGCACGGCCACAGAGCGAAGAAGGATAAGTATAATAACACACACACACATATATATATATATATACATACATATACATATACATACATACATACATACATACATACATACTAGTGGAGTAATGAAGGGGCCTTGGCATCCTCAACTGCCGGGTTGGGCATGCCCATGCTCGCAGTGACGTCCACGTCCATCATGCCGGCCTGGACAAAAACCCTATAATACAATAGACTACAATATACTATAATATAATATGATAAGATACTATGATAATACTACAACATACTATAGTAAACTATAGTATACTATGCTGAGTATATAAGAAAGAGTATCCACGTGATATAAGATCCCTTCACCGAGAGCTCCCGAAAAATCTCGTGCTTTCTCGGGCCTTGGCTCCGACCTCCCGGAGGCGCCTCGGCGAGCCGGTACCTGGAATGGGCTTCGGGGCTTCGGGGGGATAAGGTCGCATCTTTCCAAGAAGTCGTCATCAAAGGTTGAGGGTTTAGGGTATTTAGGGCTTAGGGTATTTAGGGTGTTTAGGGTATTTAGGTTAGGGTTCAGTTCAAGGCACCTAGAACGAAACTCAGCGTGGCTGCCACCCATGCTGTCGCAGCGGCAGCAACCAGCCTCAGCCACACGGTCAGCTGAACTTCTGATTCGGCGCAAAGAAACCAACTGCAGCGAGGCAGCTGCGATGCGGAAAAAGAAGGCCCAACAAAGGTACGTGTCTGCAAACTTTCTTTCATCATTCCTTCTTTCTTGCCTTCCTTCCTCCCTCTCCCTCTCCTTATCCATTTTGAAAGCGTGTGCGAGGTCACTGAGTAAGGTCAGGCTTGGGGTTGTGTTTCAGTTTCGGGTACTTCACCCCCTGCAAAACTAGGTAGAAGGACTTTCACAAAGAGCACCTCCATCTCAAAAAAGACAGGACCCCTAATGTTTGGGAACCCCCCCCCCCCCGACATGCAAAACCCCCAGAAGCCCCAACCCAGAAGTCTGAGGCCTCTGCCCGAAGGCTGCTCCTCGTCCTGGTCGACGTTGGACCATCCTGTGGCAAAGCCCGCTGACATGGGCTTAGTGTTTTGTTTCCGAATGGTTTTGGGGTTTGGGGTTTAGGCTCAACTGGGATTCAAGAGTGACAGCTTTATGCTGAACTGGAAACGCGCATTGAACATCCAGTGAGATGTTGATCGTTTTGTTGCCTGGTCTTCTGTGCTACAACCAATCATGCCAGCATGGCCTCCAACCGTGAAGCACCGGCTGCAGTCCCAAATGTATATGCTGCTTGTAAAAAAAAAGCTGAGGGCAACAGCACAAGGAAGTGTGGCAATGGCCACCATGACTGCAAAGGGGTACCATAAGGAAGTAGCAAGCACTTCCACAGTTTTTGCCTGCGCTTCTTTTCTGCGCTTGCTGAATTCGCGAGCTACAGTAGGAGCTCTTGGTTACGACTGCTCTCCCCCCAGTCGACTGTACACAGCTCCATTCCATCGCAGGCATCTTGAAACCGGAGAGCTTCACACCTGAGTGGTGTGAATGAAGACTTTCGCCTGCTTTGTGGCGAAGATCTTCAGCTCGTCTTTGCCGGCTTCATCCCTCCGGATTCCGCAGCTCCCAGCAGCGCTCGAACTCGTGGCCTCGAGCATCTCAGGGCTTCTTGAAATTAGAAGGTACCTTCTACGAGTCCTTTTCAGAAGGATCTTACGGTTTAGGGTTGATATTCGGATCCCTTATAATATTCTGAAACTCGCATGTGGCGCTCGCTTGAGTAAGGCGCTGGCACAGCATGTTACAGCATGCCGAAGCAGTCAAGTCCCACGGGCATATCGAAATCCTGACACGTCGAAAAGAACTGCCAGCGGAAGTCGCACATGCGCCACCGAGGACCCGCCTTTGTTGGGCAAGGTTCGCGAACATCGGGTCCTTGCAATGCTTGAAGCACTGCCAATGCACGCTGTGGCTGCCGCACTGATCGCAACAATTCATGCAAGACTAACAGACAAGAAAGAACACGGACAGCTATGGTGGCCGTTACGAAACCTAAGAATAAGAATGAATGATCATTGTCATGAACACCTCACTTGTTTCTGTTGTGTTGGAAGCACCGCGCGGTCGTCCGGACGGATCGTAGGGCACAATAGCCGGGAGGCGAGCCTTTGGTCTGGAGTTGGAACTCCAAACATCTCAACCAGATTGCTATGTACACTTGCACCTACAGCGAATTGCTTGCCTGGCATGTTCTTGCTGTGCACTGATAGGCTTGACCCTAGCTCTCAATCGGAAGAAAGCAAAGGCAATGTGCCAGCCCACTGCAGGAGGGAAACCGACATAGGCTTAAGACTTGTAGATCCTGCCATGCGGGTAGCTCTCTAAATTAGGGTCTCTTTTTGGGTCCCCAATTTAGTCCGGCACCCGTATAGAAAGAGCCCCCAAAGGGACCCTAACTTAGAGAACTACCCATGTGCAATCGCTCCTGCAGTGCCACCTACTACGGACTTTCCATAGCTCCAGGCTGCCGAGGAAAATAGGATTGCTTCGTTTGCACCGAGCCAACATCTTGTCAGCATGTGATTCGTATTTCGCTAAGACATTAGGCGGCGCCAAAGGGAAATCACCCGTGCGACTCCCGGTGCTAGGTCCGAAGCAGCTGTGTCCTCTCACCCTTAATCCTAAACCCTAAAATGTTGCTCCTGCTTCTGGGGTGGGGGAGATTTCCGCATGTGGACGCTGTGGTGGTCGACTAAACCTCGACCGCAAACAACCAAGTCAGGCATTAGTCGAATTCTGAGAAGCCCAGATGGCAGGATTTCCTTTTTGAGGGCCTTTTACCAGTTGGCAGGTTTAGGGTTCAGTGGTCTAAGGTTAGAGGTGTAGGGTAGTCACCATTTCCAAAGGAGATTACCAAATGGCCGTGTTCGTGAATCACTGTAACCATGAGGGGCCATCGAGGCTTCAAGACCTGCATGACGTGCACGACAGCATCAATTTGCTGGCTCAAACTTCTTCAGCCACACCTCTTGGGGCTTGCTTGATCTCTTGATAAAGCCAAGCGCCATGCCTTGATTCGAGATGGGAAACCCGACAGAATCCTGCAACCATCCTGATCCATCCTATGATGTTTTGGCTCTCCTTTACGATTGCACGCAACTGCATCCGAGCGGTTGGCAGCTTGGCAGTTTGTTGGACCTGCCTTCGGACAAACAGCATGCATGCCAATGCAGGTAAGTGACTCATCTTGGTTCATCTCGAAAAGAGGCCAATAAAGCGGGTCAGGCATCAACGCTTTTAGGAAACGACGCCCGTGTATGTCTGCTGTTTCCTAAGCCACTATATGCGTGGAGGCACAAATGGAGCAAGCACAAGAAAATTCTGCCGAATGGAACCAACTTGTCTGTCACCGAGATTCCACTCGCAGATGCTTGCGGCACTGACCTGGCAAGCAGGGGTTGTATAATCATGTTTTCTGCAAAGCCACTGCTCTTGCGAAGGAAAGTCGCAATCTGCTGCGCCAAAGTTCCATGCTTGGACGTGATGATCAACAGCATGGAAGCAATTTCAGGAGCAGAGCAAACGAGCACCACATGAACACAAACTCCAACAACAGCAAACAACGAAGTAGCATGCAAAAGGATTAGCAATCGTAAGAGATCGTAAGAGTATTACAAGTATTTACCAGGTATCGGAGTTGCCAGGGGTAAACACACCATCCATCATGGTGGTTGTCATGAGTACGAAAAATACCACGAACGTGACAATGCCAATGCCCATAAGGCTAGGATCTGCTGGAACTACGGCTACAAGCATGAATCAATGTTCTGCTCGAAACATAGAATGGTAGTGCCCCCCCGCCTACCCTCAGCAAAGACTCCAAGTTGGGAGTTGGGATGCCGTCCACGCCGAGGATGAAGTTCCCCTCGATGGCAGAGGCTTCGGCTGGCGATCCAAGGAGCGTTTGTGAGATGCACAGGCCGGCTGGTACTGGTCCAGCTTCTTTCATCGATCGAGGTGTCTCTTGGACGATCAGCCCATT